AAATAACATAACAATTACTAATTAGTAATTAGTAATTAGTTGTATTCCAACATAAAAAAAAAAATATATATATAAATTAATATAATATTTAAATATAATAATTGTCTTAATAGTTAATTGCATATCTTAGTCCGTGGCGCAAACCCGCCAAAATTGAAAATAGTAAATACAGTAATCAGTATTCTTTATCACGATGTAGATAACAGATCAGTTCTTTATCATCAATCATTATCAAAATATTCAAAAACAATTTTTAAGTGTAAAACCGATAGCCGTGGTTAAATTACACGTCAAGTTATAAAAAAATTATGAAATTAAATTATTAAATAAATGATTTTTTTTAAAAATAAAATACATATTTTGTTTTAAACACGATTAAATCATGTTTTAAACATGTTTAAAACAGCTGAAAAAATCATTTTAAAAAAACATGTTTTAAACAAAAAAATCATGTTTTTAATCAACTCTGGACTGCGTAACATAGAAAATTGTACACTCAGCAGATCACGTTTAGCTCCATTAGTTTAAATATTAGAGTGAATTGACTTCTTACAAAATTTAAAAGTAGGAATATTATCTAAGCAATGTTTTAGGCTTTTTATTATATTTTAATTTTAAAGCGAGTTATGAGTATTTTAAAATTGTATATTGTTTGTTCATTTTAAAATATTGAAAAATGTCGGTGTAACGTCCTCTTAATGTATTTTTTTCATAAATGTATTGTACTTATACAGAAATAAAATTTTTTTCCCCACATATTTTAATGTTTTAAGCACATATTTTAAAAATTATACTTTTCAATACTGTATGTACCTGCATACTTTTGTATTTTGATTACATATAAATCCGTTCCTTAGTAAATACTAATTAATAGTTTTAGTTTAATTATATTTATAGACACATGTGTGGACGTGCCTGAAAGTTGATATGCATGTTTTTTATTAAGGAAAAGGAACATATTGTATTAATATGTGATTGCGATTGGTTGTTTTTTAAGTTACCCATTTGGGCTGGTTGAAACTTTTGCCCCCTCTATTAAAAACTGAAATGACGTCACTGTTTAGGACAAAATTGGATTCATCTAAAAAAATTATAAAAGGATATTCAAATTTAGATTATTAATTATGATTTATGGGCTATAGTTAAAGAGCTTTAATGGATTGTCTTTTATATCACTTTTGGAAGTCAAGGATGCATTATCAATGTAAATTTCAATGTCACCCTCGGAGAACAACACTCTTCAAACAATTATTAGACTATTGGCAAAAGAATAAAGACTCTTCTACAACATCTAGAACTAGTAATGTAGCTAAATTATTTTACTTGCATTATAGTTTCCAATGTTATGCTCTATATGGCATATCCTAATAAATGTTATTAGGTTAGCTTATACATAGGTACCATAAACCTCAATGAAATGATCATGTTGGTGTATATAATATATTATATTATATTTATATATTAAGTAGGTACCTGTATATATTATTATTGAGTAGGAAATATCTGTAAATATTATATTCAAATTATTCAGTTATATATTATACTATATTACTATACGTATACCCATATTACATTATCACTCACACTTCTGTCAGTGACGATTTTATTACAGTGTTATGATAATTATTGTTTTTCAAATTATATGCTATAACTTTTTATCCTGAGAGCATACTATTAAATTCTTTTTTTCTAGGTAGGTACTCAAAAAAGGCTATATAAAATTGTATCCGTGCGTACTATAAAAAAAGGCCATACACTCATAATATTATCCAAACAGTATTCTCCCGTCTATCACTCTACTATAAATAGGCTATGGCTAGAGGTGTCCTCTGTTTCCAGGTTTCATTTAGGTAACGCATAAGTAGGTATAGGTTACTCTTAATATTCAGTCAATCCGTTCAAAGAATATTAATCGAATTGTCTAAACATAAATTAATAAATAACAAACACGAAGGATAATACATATAATATTATAATAATATATAATTTTAAAAAAATACTACATTTTTCAGTAATTATTAATATATTTTTAGTAACAATTTAATTACGACTACAAATAGTAAACATGCAACATAATAATATATAGTGCGTGTTAAACAACGTACCAAAAATACAGGCTCAAATATTACTTGTCATCGTAAATTAAAATACACATTTTGTGTCAATATATAAATATATAATATACCTATCATATACATACACACACGTATGTATATATATGTGTGTGTATGTGTGTGTGTGTGTATAATATATACATATATTTAAGTATTTAACAGGTGGTCCTAGATGTACCAGCTACACAGTCCGTCACTTGAAAATACCAAGAACATTGTGGGACACTCCGTATAATACTGTATAAATAAATATATATATATATTTATATACACGTGTATAATATAATATGTCCAACAAACAACAAATATGTATTAATTAATTTGTACAAATAAAAACAATAGTTATGTATCTAAAATAAAATATCGAGTCGAGTTCTATATATATATATAATATATATATATATTTTAATAATATAATATTGCGGTCTTTAAAGTTTTACGGCATACCACATTGAATAATACTATATATAGCTAGGTGGTCTAAGTATGGCTAATATTTATTATCATCAATTTTTTTTATCGATTAGCTAAAATAATGTAACGGGCGAAGCCTATTATAATACTTAGCTATTATACCTACTGCTTTAGTATATATAGGTATATAGTATAATTATACGCCTGTAATACATCAGCCAAGTTCCCAGAGCTCTTAATCCCTATTTAGTTTGAGAACGAAATACCAGCCCTCGCAGTTAAGTCTTGAATTTAATTGAACTGTGACGAACGGTAACTACGGTGCCGTGTTTGGGGAGAGGACGAAGTTTCCTGGGGTGACAAAGTTTTGTGAGAGGAAAAATTGTCGAAAGGTGTTTTTTTAGTATAATACTTTCTTTTGTTCTTCAAAATTATTAGAAATCTGCAGAATTCCTAAAAAAAAAAATACTTTCAAATTCTATAATATTTATTATAAACATAGTGCGCGTATATACTAATATTTTTCATAAGTATACATATTGTTTCATTGTCAACTATTCTTAAGTTAAAAATGTGGCTCTATGAATAAATACATTTGTAACAGTGTGATTGTTATTACTCGATTGTTTTGCCGTATAGACATAGATAAATTAATAAAATAAAGAGTGGCACCATAAAATCTTCCCCCAGGTGGCACAATAACACAGCACCAAATTATTAAAAATTACTGATGGTACACTAATACGCGATACGCGTAGGTACCGAATAAAACCTGAAATCGATGATGAAAAACAACAGCGTATGATCATGACTATATATATCGTCTATTCATTCTAGTTTAATTTAAAAAAAAAATAAATTGAGAAAGAGAGAGAGAGAGAGAGAGAAATATTAAATACGCGAGCGAACGCAATAAGTAACCTACATGACACATACATATTATAATATATAGTGTCACTATGTAACTATTTAATAATCATAATAATAACAATAATAATAATAATAATAATATTATATGTAATTAAATTTTAAAAATGATGAAAATAATCTGAATGGAATTCGAACGTATATAAAGGCGTACCTTTTAATAATGTAAAATATTATACATAATATATTAATATATATAGGTGACAGCTATGTATTCGCAGAAGAAAATCACTTGCCACAGTTATATTATTATAGCATACCGTCATTGTCATTAGATCGTATAAAGGAAGTATAAAATATATAAACATAGGTACCCATGGTCAGTAGTCGAAGTGTACAAGTGGCTTAGAATAACGGGGGGGGCACATACATAGTATAAAATGTATACCTAAGAGTTATGACTTTATATATAATAGATATAATGTAACATATGTATTATAGGTATATTATAATCGAATATAAGGGATGAAGTTTTCTCTCAAAGAGCATTATACTGTTCGGGGGAGGATTTAAGTGTCTGCACTCATTATTTCGAAAAGTTTTGTCCTTCCACAGTTTGATGTCATTGCAAAACAATGTTTTTGAACAAAATATCTTTTATAGGTTTTTTATGATATCAAAGACAGGGCCCCAGTTATTATTATTATTACTGCTATCTATATGGACCACTACTTTACATATAACATGTAATATGTTATAATATGTATGTTGTATATTATACTATATAGTTCTCTCGTATAACAGATAAATTAATTTTATTGGCCAATCCGTTTTTACACCCGATCGGAAACCAAGGGTACTCAAAACTGTGAGCTAAAATATAATATTAAAAAGTTCTATTATATTTTAGAATTGTATACAAAGTGTCAAAGTCTAACAGTTGTAGTGTGGCCTGTACATCTTACTAGGCCATATTATATAATATTATTTTGTATGAGTTATGTTAGTACATATAATGTAGGTATTGGTACCTAGTACCTACCTACTATTTAATATAATATAATATTATGTCGTACGGTATACATAACACCTATATGTATATATTATTATTATTTAATAGGCCGGTTATTCGAAAATTAATTGTACTTCACTATCAATTGCCTATATTTCATGACAAATTATTAGATAACATATAATAATAATAATAATAATAATAATAATATGACGTAATATAATCATATCTTTTTACTGAATATCGATTTGAACAAGAGTACAATAAATTAAAATTAGATATTCGTAATGAAATTGATATAGAGAATGAATTATTAAAGAATAATAATGAGAATTATTGAAAATAATAATATTATTCGATAAAAATACTTGTATGTGAAATGTTATTTTTTAAATTGAATCAATAACATGTCATCTTGTAATTTAATAATTATTATAGTAGATAAATATAATTAATAATCAAATAAATAAATGTATTTAAACAAACGTTTTGCGTGTTTCCAACTAGTTTATTAATGGTCGTCACGTTATCGGGGTTCATCACTGTACTCAATAAACAGGAATTTATATCATCATTAGTGTTTTTTCAACCGGTTAACTTTCCAAAAATATCAGTGCCGTAGGTTTCGGTTCCAAATTCGATTTCTTTGCTTCAACTACAAGGAACTCGATTTCGGATTTATCGGTTTGTGCAAAAGATTCTGCGATGAGCCTGGCTACTTCTTGATGAGGCATTCCTGAAAAAATTACCATTAATAGTGATTTTTATTGTTTATTTATATTTTATACACACATCACACGTGTTGCTTAATAATATTTTGGAATATACCAAAATATTATATATTCCTACCTTCAACTTTTTGGCCGTCAACTTCTAAGATCAATTGTCCAACTTCTAGACCTCCTGCTTCGTATGCAGCCCCATTTTCCTAAAATTATAAGTTAAATGGAATAAATTAATATTGTATAATATTATAATATTATTTACAACAATTAAATTTACAGAAATGTTAATCAGACTATGGCGTACGAGTGCATATATATACTAAACGTAATATGTAATACATTAATAAATTCACAGTAGTATGCTTAAAAATATCATATTATCTTTTTGATATCAGTTAAGATTTTTAACGAAATGATTTAATGTTTTTAAATACATATTTGAAAATTTAAAACATCTTCCCGGTTAAATTTAATGTTATACATATTTTGGCGACTACATCTCAGCTATTTAATAAATTATCATATGAAATATATATTTATAAATTATATGAATAATATTATATATTCACAACAACATTTGAAAGTTTCAACATTATATCGTGTTTCACAACTATAACCATTGCAATAATATTATATAATTACACAAATTATAAAATACAGAAGATAAGAGGATACTTGTAATAAATACTTGAGAATCGATTGAAAATATTGTTAACGATAAATTTCAGATTTTCACTATAGTTCATTGACTGAGTGCCTAAAGTAGTGTCTTTTAAGAGCACAAAGTGTGTAGTACGAAATATAAATATTGCAATATTCCATAGTTGCAACTTGAAAATGCAGACATATTAATTATTCTGGAGCAAAGTATTATCATTAAGATCGTTTTATTAGTTTAAATGTATTTAAATTTTATAAACTATGAAAACTCGAATAAGGAGACCAATTCTGAAAACGTCCTGAAATTAGTAGTATGATTAAACTGCGATTGCAAATTTCAATATTTGCTACTTTAACTAACCCGTGCAATATAAGAATTATTAATGGTTTTTCTAAATATATGCATATATTTTATATATTTATATAATTAGTTATATATTTTTATTTCACCTATAAATTATTACAATAGTCAATGAAAATAATTATGACTATAAGTCTATACAACTTTATTAATCTAATTTTGCGGTATTTATGTTCTATTTCATATATAGGTAGATATAGTTTAATATTGTTTAATAACATTATTGAGAAGTATTTGGGGGAGGGGGAAACCTACCACAACTTTATATGTACCAAATGGTGTGCTGTACGAAATGTTTGATATTTTGAATAATACATTGACAAGCTGCAAATATTTTAAATACATTTTATTTTAAATTCCTGTTACATCAGTGAGTGTTGTTATTATTGTTTTTTTTTTTGTAATTAGGTATAACTGTATAAGGTAAGTAGATACCTACCTACTTATTCATATTAGGTCTTACAATAGGTATTGATCATGATTAGATAATTGTTTGTTTGCATTACCAAGCGTTAACATTTCTATGATATAATCAATGAAACAATTTAATTTCTGGGTTAAATTTTATTATAAAGGCCTCGGAAACAAATAAACAATGACTCAACAGTAATAAAGATCGTAAATACCGTGAGATTCGTAATAACCGTGTCTTCGGTTTGACGGCCGACTGAAAAGTCTAACCTAACCGCACTGCAAATAACTTGAGAAAATTTGGCACTTTGATAATAAAATTATTTATATTTGTACCTATATGTGATTAATAAACGTATACAAAGAGACGGATACTGATTAAATCTGGGATAATAAAATATACCATTCGTGACATGCATGAATAATATTACAGCAGATGTCATTGAGCCAAATTAACCATAACCCCTAGAAAACTATAAGTAGTAATAATAGTAGGTATAATACATTTTATTATACAAGTACGAAGTACCTACCTAATGGAATATTATATAACAATAAACTGATAAATTGTGGCTTGGCTTGGCGCGTTGGCTGCTATCAGTCACGCAATGTGACTGAGAGTAAGTAGCCCCCGCTTCGACTAGTTCCCGGATGGGTGACCATTGACCAAGAGGGTTCGTAGTAGTAAAAACCTTGCCATATATACACGTGTGGCTTACCTATCCTAATATCCGTAACACCTTACCAACCACAGTTCCCTTACAACAGTTAATGGTCATAGTCGCCGGGCTTAAGTTCAATTAAAAAAAAAACATATATAGTAATAAACACCAACAAGAGAATACCATGACCCATAGATTTGTTTTTGTTTTTCCCTCAGCTTTCCCTCAACTACTGGGAACTTCAATTTTGACCTCCTAAAAGCACCAATTTAGATTCACCAACTCCCCAGAAAAGATACTGAAATTAAAAATTGAAACATTATTTGGACTATAAATATTAACGTGTACAAACAAAAAAAAAAAACACACTTCATTATAAAATTGCTCCACTCAGAATCTAACCTAAACTTTTTAACTGGTTTATGCCCATCCTTGTTAATAATATTTTATATACTTTTATACAAAATAAATACTATCCAACTTGATCATACAATAATTATTTATTATTCAAGTTCATAGGTATATTACATTTTAGATTCTGAGCGAAGCGATTTTACAATGATGTGATTCTTGTCTGTGTATACACGATAAATAGTTGATAAAATCCTTCGATGTTCAACTTCAGTATCTTTTCTTGAAATTCCCAGTAGTTTTCAAAAGCGAAGTAAAAATCAAAAAACAAATAAGGAAAGATTCGGCAAAATCGATTTTGACCGTATACACATGCAATTTTCACTGAATGTTTATTTAAGCATTTTCTATAAACCATACAATTTTCAAAATAATTTGACTCGTGTTAAGCTATTTATAGGCATATTAAATTTTTAATCTTTATTAGTTTTTAAAATTATAATATCGAAAAAAATTTTCTCTCGATCAAAAACTTGAAAATGTAATACAAGGTTCTTCATAAGTCAAAAGTTGTTTTTTGTGTAAATTAAGCGTAATACACAATAATTTAAAATTACGATATTAGTAATTACTAATAGTTACATAACGAGTTAGTTTTTCTTCAAAAGTAGGTAACTTTTAACTTAACGAGTTAATTTGGTTATCATGTTATGAAGTAACTTACGAGCTAATTAATTTTATTGTCACGTTAATTTAATTTTTTTCATAATAACACAGATTTAAAATTAATTCTGTTGTAAAATTAATTTTATAAACAAAATCTGAAATATCAAATATTATTTATAAAATTATAAAATATGTAACATGTTATACATTTAATAATGGATATAATATTGCATATTCGTAGAATATATGAATAATAAATATATTATAAACAGAAAAGTTATAGGCAAAGTTCACAAACGGATCCTTAGAACATGGCCAAACCACTGGGATTCCATTCCAAACAACAACAAACTGAAGAACATAATATATACAAACAGTATTATAATAAACATGTCCGGACAACTCAGGAGAGAACAAATAATAATTAACAGAGCCAACATTTTTCCATTCCCATCTAACTCATTCCTATTCGATTACTATAAGGAACCCAGTCCATTGGGTACCTATACAAAACTCTCCTTACAATCGAACACAATATAATTATCAACTAGCCCAAATTCTCAACCTCAAATCATATCCTCAACAATCTTGCATCACTTGAAGAAGCTCTCAATCAATTCAAGGCCACCAATATTTTGAATTTTTTTCAAACAAATAGATTTAGATAAAACAGTATTATACCTGTATATATCATATGTTTTTTTCTAATATTGTATAAGTACATTTAGTATCTAAATAACACTCTAGGCTAATAATCGCTATAATTGAAGCCTTAAAAAAAGTTATAGGGGTAATCGCGGCATTGAGAAAATAAAAATGTAATTATTTACTCGGTATCAAATACATGTTTCACGTTTTTATACGTACTCATTAATCTTAATTAATTAATAGTCATTACAATTATTATTATATTTTTATTCATTCACAGAAATACAACTAAATAGAATATTATTTGATATTTTGATGGGTAATAATAATATGTGTAGGTAATTAATTATATATTTTAATAACTCATTTGGTATTTCTAATTTAGTATAGTTGTAGACCATAAGATAAACAAATACATACAAATAATTATCTTGTTGGATTTTGCTATTGATCAAAGTTTGAAATATACAAGGTCTTGCATACTTACCCCTTCTCAATCAAATATTTGATGATAAAAACAAAAATGGCAGCGTAAAGGGAGCCAATAATTATCAAGTACGTAGCGAGGGATTTTGAATTTGTTATTTTTTTTCGGCGTATAATGATGATAAGAAAAATTATATTTGCGATATCCCTTTACGCAGCCATTTTGTTTCTTATGATAACAATCCGAGTCGATATGCAACAACCCCGATTTAAGATATATCTTTGATCGTAGCAATAACTGAATAACCTGTATATTTCAACCATGGTATTAAAGTAGGTATATTTAATAAGTGTCTACTTACAGCAATTAATTTTAATACATAAATGTATTTAAAACTGTAAGACTTCTATAAAATTACTAAGTTATTTGATAGCTTTAAAAAAGGTATAATTTTTAATTTTATATGAAAAAATTGTCTTATATTTTCTAGTTGACTTGTAACTTTTACAAGTTAAAAAAAAATTAAATTAACTTTTAACTTTAAACTTAATTTAAATTGTTCTATATTAACTTAACGAGTTTCAGGAATTGATAAACTGTAACCTAAAAGCTCTTAAGTTTTAATAATAAAAAAGTGTTCGAAATCGTTAGATTTTTTAACATAATCAACAATAAGTTATGACTTATGACTAATGAGTAATGAAAGAATACTTACTCATTTTTTTTTTATATACAACTTTTTAAAATATTTAATAAGTTTAAATTTTATAAATGATAAATTTGTAATAATTTTTTGTCACAGCAACAAATAAAATTACCTAGGTATCTGGTATATAATATATTTCGTAGATAATACTACACATTGTATTCTACGGTACTAAAAATTTACCTATAGAATGGTTACGTGGGTTGGTACTTATTGTAGTTTATATAGTACATGTTATCAGATTTAAATGTTTGTCAATTCAGATACTCTAGCTTTCAGTTGCAATGTCAGTACAATAGGTAGGTATCTCAAAATTATAATAAAATACATCAACCTTATTATTGATAATTCGATTATAGTCATAAGGACTTTTTTTGTTCCATTTGAGTGTAGAAACACTCTAGAAGTTTGACACATTTATCGTTGAAACCCTCTGTACATATTATTATCTCCAATTATTAAACTAAACTTGCGACAAATGCAAATGTTGATTAGATTTGACCAGCTTAATACAACTTACCTACACAGTACACCATTAACAGCTTTTCCCGACATTTTCTTACAGCTATAGTAGTATATCATTGTTGTAAGATTGCTCTGACAAGTAGCGTATTTATTTCGAAATCCTGTCTACCTAGTATCTTCCCTCCAGATCCTAAAATCTTTAGGTACTTAGACTTATTCTACTAGGTACATCTACATTTATTAAATACTTACGTGTATATTTATTATCCTTGGAAGTAGATGTTTTGTATTGATCCCCCCTTCAATTGCAATCCCGAGCAATGGTTTGATTTTTTTAACAATTATACGAAGATTGCCTTGTTGATCCAACATTATCTTTAAAGTGAAACACAAAAAAAAAAAATTAAAAAGAGTCAAATACAAGCGGTTTTATACACCTATTTATTTTAAAAATTACTATTTTAAGATCAGGATGATTCACGTGGGAATTTAGACCTTGCTTGATGTCGTTATTACAACTAAATGCACCTTCCAGCTTTTTTTATTTTACTATTTCCTATATTATACTGTTAATACTTTATACTGCTTTAACAATTGATTTAAACTTCTTTATAATATATTATTATACCTATATGAAATTATAACTATGCACGTCGCACGTGTATCAAACCTTATAACTGTTCTAAGCATATTTAGAGGGTTTTAAACATAAATGTGAAAATGTATACATTTAAAAAAAATCTATAATACCAGTAAATAGCTGGTAAATAGAGATAATACCCATCCATTGTTTTAATCGTGCAGTAGAGGATGTCTACACAATGATTTTAATATTATCTACTGCCTAAAACAGTGCTGATAACCTTTTTTTTTTACTAAATTTGAATATATTATATATTGTTGTAAGTGAATTAAGATATTTAAGTATGAATTTAAATTATTATCCATATTAAATATCAGTTTTATTAATATTTTAACAGTAAAATTATGATATAATTATTTCCTAGTTAATGCGTTATAACATATTGAAGTTAAAGAAGACATTTTATATACTATCCTCGAAAAAATAAAAATTTTTATTAAATGTACAATCTTTAGAGAAGCTATTTACAAAAAAAATATTAAATACCTACGATATAATTATACAAAATGTATAGACAATATAAATATTAAATTAATTCAAAAACAAAATTTTAAGTGCAACAAACTCTTAGTTTATTCAAAGTATTAAATAGTGTTTCAAACATTAAACAAAATAGTTTCCTATGAAATTTAGTATATTCAGAATTTTTTTAAATGCTTCAATTTTAAACTTAAATATCCTTCTTGTAATATAGAAAATCTATAGTTAGTACTTAGTTGGTTAAAAGTCAAACAATTACAGTACTTGTCTTAATAGTTATTAGGAAAATAAAATAAATATTAAGAAAAAACGGGAATTTTTACACAAAATCGGTTTTTCGACTAAATCGATTTTGGTTTTTGGTGTAACCTCTAAAACTAATGACCGTGTATGCATGACATTTGCACTGGTTATTTATATTAGAATTTTATATATACCATATAATTTTCAAAATATTTTGATTTGTTTTGAACTATTTACGGACATTTCCAGTTTCCAATTTTTTTAGTTTTTTTTTTTATGAATGTCAATAAAATTTTATTTGTTCTGTAAAAAAGCTTGAAAATTTAATACAAGGCTCCTAACATATTTTTACATTGATATGAGAAAATTATTAAAAGTTAATTGTCACCATTTTTTGTATGAGTCAAATCTTGACAAAATACGTAAAATTGACGAAAATGTGCGAATTATTTTGAGTTAGAAATTCATACAATTTTATTTTTAAATCTAAAATTTTAAAATATAATACAAGTATTTTTATAAGTTTGTATACCTTTATCAAACAAAAAAAATGTTTATAAGAAAGTTGAATAATATTTATATGAGCATTTTTTTTTTATATTTTTATTTGAGATAAACAATCTATACTATTTGTAGCATAAATAAGTTTATATGATAAAAGTAAAAGTAGAATAATATAAATGTTGGGAATAACCAGCCACCCATTAAATGAGCATTTGAAGTTCAAATGTTTACAACAATGGATATTCACCCGATTTCTCAAGATTTACTTTGTTGTAATTCAAAAATAAATAACTGTAGATACATTATATAAATACAATACATTTTTGAAAATATTTTGATTTGTTATAAGCTGTTTACAGACAAAATAATTTACAAATTGTCGTGATATTCTTCTTGATTACTCAAATATTTATAAACAAATTGTGCATACCTATTTTTAATATTTTTTACAGCAATCATCACAATTTCTGTGGGATTTTGTATTATATTTTCAAGATATATCTCTGAGCTGGGTTACCAATATTTTTATCGAAAAATTAAAAAAAAATTAAAAAAATCGAAAATTTCCCGTGTCTATAAATATCTCAAAAAGAGTCAACATATTTTGAAGATATAATCAAGTATAGAAAATGATAAAATAAATATTTTGTTAAAGTGTCTACAGTTATTCGTTTTTGAATCGGAACAAAATATAAAAACCAATGGAAAAACAATAGAAATAGTTTATTTACGGGCGAATAGGTATCCAATTGGAAAACATTTGAACTTTAAACGCTCTTATAAAATTAAAGAGACTTTACGGTGAACTTGCGTATGTCATAGGTAGAAAAACATTGTATTACATTTTTCAATGTTAGATATAAAAGAAAATATTTTATGTAATTCTAACTATAAAACAATTTTTTATAGATATTTTAAGCATACATTTTTTTTTTTTAAAAAATCGGAATTACCAAATGTCTCTAAATAGTCTTAATAGCTCAAAATGCGTCAAAATATTTTATTAAATACAGAACATGAGAATATTTGTCCAAAATGTCATGTATCTATATTCTATAACTACCTACAGTTATTAGTTACTGTCTTATTGAGTCACCTACACAGAAAAATCAATATAGATTTTGTCAGAAACTGTTTTTTTTTTAAAAATTCCCATTTTCTTTAATTTTTTTTTTGACCCCTAAGTCTAAGTATAAAATGTATTATCATAAACCACCCCCAAAGATGAAAATAAATGCATTTTTCTACTATAAGTGTTTTTTGACTAAAAAAACCATACAACAATCAATACATTAATCGATCAGTAGTGCAGAATTTAATAAACGTAATTACCTACTTGAGATTTTCACAAAAGTTTATTAAAGGGTAGTTCATAACATGAACAGAATTGAAATCAGTTATATTTTTTTTCTTCTTTCATATCAGCCCTGATTTAACTTTTGATGTTATCAGTTCGTATATCTTTTCAATTTGAGATTTTTAATGGCTTCTGAGAATTTCTGGTGTATTATGTTATCCAGGTGCATTCTTAATATCGAGCACGCCTTTAGTACTCAAAACGCATTTAATCTGATAGTATACACAAGACATATACATTTAATAAGTATAATTATTATAAGATTATTACATTATATTATTGTATGGCGTTCTACTACTTATGGTTATAATATTAATTTTCATAATACAAATTGTGTTGTACTATTGGGCTCTTAGCCCGTTCATACAAAATAAAATAAATAAATAAATAAAGTAAAAATATATTTCTGTGTAAAAATAACATTCTTTTAATATCTTCTAAATACTTTCAGTCATATTTATAAAACATCATTAACATTGTCTATACATGGTAGATATTATATTACTTAAATTTTTTTACTGCTTTTGAAATTTTGAATTTTTATTTTTAATGTTGATAAAAAAGTTTAGGCTTGGTGAAAAAGCTTAAAAATATGACGTATTTAATATCCCAAAAATTTGTTCGTATAGCTATTAATAATATTAAAAATACATATTTACAGATTTTACCAGTTAAAACTCAAAATATCTATACAATTATATATAACGTAATAAATGATTTATAAATCAGATTAAATTTTAAACGCCATATTATATTATATTACTTAGATTTCTGATTCATTGGTTCTCATAAATAACAAATATCGGAATAATATTGCATGTAAACAGTGTAAGTATATCTTTAATATAAAATCCCCACATTAAAACAATATAATTGTAAACTTAGTTTGAACAGTTCAAATTTAATATAGGTACTTGTGAATAATAGTAATTTAAATGTATATTATTCAAAATTACCTGAGATTCGTTTTGTATATTATTTGAACACGATGACTCTATAAAACCACTTTCTCTCCGATAACTTCCATCCTCATCCAGCAGTTCATTTTTACCATCGTATGACCGCCCGTGTTTGTTTGATAATTGCTTTAAAAAAATGTTTTTGTTTCATTAATAATTATAATTTATTAAATTATCATTGCCTAGCCTTGTCAATAACTCGAGACAATCACGCACAAATTAATTATAAATCACTTTTTGTTTGTATCGTTATTAAAACAAAAACAATATAAAATTACACTATATTATAGCTGTCCACCTTAGACTTATATTTTTAATTGCCGCTATAACAGAAACGTTGTATCATCAGATCTTGAAAATCTAATATTATTAAAACAATTTGGCAATGTTAAACTTTTCTTTTATGTTTTAGTTACAACTTGTCAACTTGGTGTTTTTTTTGGTTACATTCCAAGTTAAATATTTAAGTCCGAGGACCGTTTAAGTTACCTACTACTTAACATTTAAAAATGTAATTATTAATTGAAGTAGGTAACAAGAATAAACACACATTTACCTATAGAATTTTATTTTTAGTTGCTTTGAGTTAAAAGATACCCATGTTTAATTACACACATTATCTATAACTGTAATTAAATTGCCTCTACATGTTATCATTGATTATAAATACTAATATTTATAATCAAATATCAATCAATGATATTACATATTATCTATATACGAATATAAGACTCATTCGCTTTGTTTTACCAGGATTTTTATATATACCTAGTAACAAAATATTTGTTCTTCCATCAAATGTTAATTACTAATTACTAGGTTATATATTATTATAATTAATTAGTTAAAATTGAATTTAACGTTATTAAAACTACATACACTGAAATAAGTTAAATAGATTAAATAGGTAGGTAGGTTAAGCATATTATTAATTTTGGATGACATAACTAAAAATGTGATGTGAAATGTAAATGTATAAACGTGAATAATAAATAATGAATCTATGGATTAAGTTAGATTGCATGTGTATACGACATACAATATTATTGCAACAACTACTCATGCTTAATATAAGCACTGTTATATTGTTAATTCTGAATGTTTACTAAGCAAAAGGAATATCAAAAATAATCCTGAGACTTCAAAAACTAAATAAATAACCTCAAAATATTAAATAAATATTATTACTTATTTACCTACTACCTACTACACGATAATACGATTATATACAATTTAAATAATTATGTTTTTAATTATATAATATTTGCAATTATTTGTAACTTTTGACCTTCGAGGCAAAAATGTAGGATTTGTTTTGAGCTTCTATTTATAAAGTCTGCAATAAAAAAAGTGTTATTATTTCGGTCTTTGACCTATGTTATACCAAAATAATACTTACTTCACGGACCCTGCTTATTTCAAATAAAAACCATGTCAATATGAAGTTTAGAAAAGCCATATTTTATTAAGAAAAAAATAAATTACCGATGATTAAGAAATATATATATATATATTCGTGATAAAGTGATTAAATTAATAAAAGCCATTTAAGTATTTGAACTCTGAAGTGCACTTATAGGGTATTTACAAAAATTATTTACCTATGTAATTTTGGAATATGGTCTTAAGTAGCTGAAACACTAAAGGATTATAAGACATGCCGAATTTTGAATTTGAAGGTTTGTTATATGAAAAGTTTGTTAGGTATAGATAGATAAGGAATATAAATTGAAACTACAGTTCTTTAGAAGCTCTAAAATGAATTATAGATCAACTATAAATAAAACATATAAACACAGAGCAGTAAACAAGATAATATAAGGTAAAATTCTAGTTAAAGATGAAAATAGAAGACGGTGTTCCAAAACTAAAGAAAACATATCTAACTACTTGGTTCACATACAAAAACTAAATGGAACTGAAACATCAACTGAAACTTACTAGAGAACTTCCATAGTACCAGGATTTCAATTTTTGGGTCCATCCCCCTAAGTGGGATCGCAGTCCCTCCAAGTATCCACTCTGAAAGCATCAGCAATGTTATTTGCGTAAAGTTTAAAAAGTACCTATAATTAAGTAGCAATACAACTGTATGTAATTAATTTGCATATTTTATAATTTATTCAAAATTTTTTTTTTTTGTCGAATTTGTGTACTAATTTAAAAAAATTAAATTTTGCAATCAAATTGAACTGTAATAAATAAAAATGAATGCGCTACTCAAGACCAATTTAACCAGTGAATGTATAAAAATAACAACTGTTTTATTTTAACAAAGGAGGTGTGAATATATATAATATAAGGTATACCTATGAGTATTTGTTTTTTTTTTTATCAGATAACTGAATGTTAATTAATATAAATACTTTTCATTAATTTTAGGTGATAAAAAGTGAATCTAACTGATGAAAATAACGATATGTACTTCGTGTAAGTTGTTAATGTTGATAGGAAAGTATAGGGATACTTTAGGTACTGACAAGTGCACTTCCACACAATATACTGTATAGTATTTACCTAATTAAATAAAGCTAATCTATTTTTTTTTTTTTTTTTTAAATAAACTAACTACCTACAATATTATATACTCAAGATTGTATGCACTATAACAAGATAACAACGAAGACTAAGAATTAACAATAAAAAAAAATAATGTGTACCTAGGTAAATATCAAAATAACTAAATATTATTGATAGATTTATTATGTTATTACCTATAAAATATATATTACGACAAAATACATATACCTACGATGAAACATATCAAATAAAATATATTTTTAGTTATCACCTAGTTAAAATTATAATTTATTATTTTACATTTTATAATTTATAGAAATATTAATAATTTATTTAAGTAGGTAAACATTTTTTTTATATACTTTCATTTTTCCAACTCTTTATTTTTAAAAAGTTAAATATAATATAATGAAAACAAAAAAGTGGCTAAATGGGCGCCACTCTGCTTTTCAGTAGGTTACAAGTATCTTGTATTTTGAGCAAAGACGGTCTGTCAGTCTATAATATTAATAAGGATATATATTATATTAATAATGACAAAATAAGAAAATCATTGTATAATAATTTATTAGTTAACGGGTAAATGGTAATGTCCAACATCAAACGATTTTTTATCGACAATAATTTAAAAAAACTAATAAAAATCGAAATTTTACTATATCTATTAATAGCTCAAAAATATTTGATATTATTATTAATATTTCTAAAATTGTATGGTGCAAAATGCGTTGCAAATTGTTGCAAATTGGTTTGAAAAAATGATATTGAATGGGTTCTGATCGGTGGATGTCGGGGTACCAACTTCACGTACGTCATAGAAATTGCTAATATAAACATTTTGTGAAAATTTTATGTATTAATAGTTATTTTTTTATGGGTTACAATAAAAAAAAAATCAATTTTTTTCGAAAACTGGTTTTGTGTAAAAGCTCAGTTTTTCCTTAATTTTATGTTTGTTTTTCCGGACGCTATTGAAAACTATTGGGAATTTTTTAATTTTTACTCCCTAAAGTATCAACTAGATTCATTTGCCTAAATAATTTATCAATAAATAATATCATGCATTATAATATTGTGTACGTGTTTTTTCTTATTATTGTAATGATCCATCAACTAGTGACATTTTAATAATTTATAATAACTATCATTAATTATAAATACTAATGTTTTAAACTGTTTTAAGTAGGTACCCGATTGTGATACCCGATTGAGCACAGCTATTATCTGCCAACCTTTTATCTACCTGATTGAGAACAAACATTTTTTTAAATTTAAAAATTATTATTTCGAACAACTATTGTTGTAGCTATTCACATTATAATATTAAATACATGAGAACATGACCATAACGCAAAGTACATGTCGTTTAACTATGGTCAGTGTTCGAATTGATTAAAGAGGAAAGCTCTGTTAAATATAAAAACAAGTTTTCTGAATTTACTGCACAGTTATTAAATATCTTCCCTCCCCCCAATCTTTAACATTTGGCATTTATAAATACATAATATAAAACCTACTGCATTTGTAACACCTAATACAAACATATAAATTATAAATGTACCTAGTAAATCATTAACATTGGAAATTAATACAGTGTGCCATGAGTTGTCCAACTTTACAGTAAAACTTCATAATATAAATTTAGGACAAATATTAAATTTTTCTGATTCATTATAATTCAGGAAATTTACTAATTAGTAGGTACCTATTGCAAAATATAAAAGTTCATTAACACGGAAATATTATGGTTTAGATTATAACATAATATTTACCTGTAGTTAGTTTTAATTTATTTCAGAAAATATGTTTTAAATCAATTTTAGTTTTTATGTAATATTAAGATAATATATTGGTGGATTTTTTAAGTGCATGAATATCATAATATTAAGGTAGAAACAGTATACATTTTACCTACAACAATCATAAGATATAAAGTATGGTGGAGTTGCAAAGTTTATTGTGCTCGGTGATATTTTTTTTATAATATATTTTTTTGGGGGATTCTCCTACAGTGAAACTACTTCTGTGCTTAATCGGGTTGCAACCAAGTAGGTGTCTACATATTATTAGGTATATCAGAAAGTTATATCGTTCACATATTTTACAGTGCAATTTTTTTTTCGGAACAGATAAATCATTAAAACTTAAAAGTGAATTCTGATTAAATACTTATTATGTGTTTATTAAGAGTAATTGAAATGTGTTAATTTTAATTTTAATTTAAAAATAATATTTATTTTTATAATTTTGACATTATACATGTATTGTAACTGTAATAGCAGTTACAAGACAATTATCACATATGAATGGCTTTTTAATTATGTTCTATGTATCCTATAACTATATATTTTCATGACTAAACAATATTACGACTAGGTATTAAATATTAATTGTAGTTATTTTGATAAATTGATTCAATAGATTTGATTTTCTTAGTAGTAATATCTATTTAGTTGTTTTTAATTAATTAGGTACATGCAACACAAATTACGAAACCTACTCATTTAGTATGCTACCAACATCTGAAATGCTACCTACTCGAAATTCAATTTCATTTAGTATAAATAAAATCAATAATAATAATAATGTCTTACACTACTCTTACCTTATTTTCTTACATTAAGAGGACGTGGTCCGTCTTACACATGTACAACATACCAAATTTTCGTTCACCAGTTTCAAAAGTGTTTGTCAGTTTTGAAGTGTGTTAGTACTTAGTTGTCAGTTAGTTCTGAGTAGGTATATAAAATATTAATATTTAAAAATGCTCATAATTCAGTTAAAAATTAAAATATCGTAAAAAGACACGTATAATGTTCTTACCTATAAGTTTGATAATAGGTCAATCCACTCTAATATCAAAACTGACAGCACAATATTGGAATCGGTGAACGAAAATTCGGTATATATCGTAAGTGAACAAGACCCAAAACACAGTACCACTTCCTCTTAATTCACTATTTCTTCGTAATAAGAATTCTTAACTTAATAATTAATATGGGTCAAGTTGACTTCGCTTCGTGCGTTTACTGATCACCACAACCAACACTTCCATTAATTGTTTTTAAAAAAGACATGTATCCAGCACCTTTAACTTTAGTCTGTTCTTCCATATTTTTGCTTAGCTATCCTTTATAAGAACACCGTTTTGTACAAAAACCCATACTAGCTAAACTATTAAACTCTTTTCAATGGTCTGAATTAATCATCGTCACTTTTTAATTTCATTAAAAATAATTGAAATACCTAAGTGTACATATCTTACAGTTATATCTCGTTTTTCAACAATGAAAAATCTTTGCTCTGTGACCTCGCCAGTGCGACAGCATAGATCCAGGATAGGTATTTATCTTCATAACTTTCTTTCATTAAAAAATATTTTCTCCATTTCAATAAATAATAATAATGTAAAAATATAAAAATATATATCTCAAAAATAAATCACTCTTACTATCACAACACTAAAGCTGTCGCATTATACAACACATAGGTACTAACTAAATATTATAAATTAACCATCCATCAGACTATAAAAACATGTTATTTACCTTAATTTTAGCTTTTTTACTATACATATCTACTCTGTTGCCCTTATTGTATTATATAGGTTTAATAAAATGTGGGTAACATACTAAAATAGATTTTTAGTGAAGGTAGCATACTAAACGACTTAACATATGTGAACAATGAGCAGACATACCTCCTAATAGTTGAATTTTAAATTATCTACACTATAAAAATTTTTTATTTTAAGTTGATTGATTTAACAGAAATTTAAAAATTGTGTATATACTATAGTAATTATTCATAAAATTATTTATTTTTAACTAAAAATGAAAATTTATATTATTTATATTGGCAGGTCAATTTTCCATAGGTAGGTAATCATAAGTAGGTAGGTAATAACTAATAATTATATCAATATATAATAATATAATATGATAAATGATAGTAAAAAAACAGTTATTTTCTAAATGAAATATTGTTATTTTAAGTATAGAATTTTCTAAGTAAAACAACTAATTTATGCTTGATAAATAATTAAAAATAAACAAAAAAATATGGATAATTTTGTATTCAATTATTTTTCCCATGCATACTAAAAAGTTTTATGACAATGATCATAAATAGTAATTTATGTTCTATAGTAATAACAAAAAAATGCATCATCACTTAAATATATAACAATCAGTGCCGGAGCTAGGTATTGTAGGGCCCTGGACATAGGTAATAGGTACCCAGAGGAGGGCAAAATTCTAGCTTTTTTTAAATGAATGCTTTTTTATTTGAATTTAAACATTAAAAATAATAATATCAGATTATTCTTATCCTTTTTTTTTATTATAATGTGTTAACAAAAAATTATTTACAAATAATAAAATAATATGTATGTGTTGACAATTATAAGTTAATACATTTGTGGGGGGGACTTATTATTTTATTAAATTATATTTATTTTAATAATTACAACTTATAAAAACATCAATAAAAAATAAATAAAATCATCAAAATGTTTGAATGATATAATAAATTGTTTAATATCTAAGTACGCGGTAGATAATAAAATACATTATTAAGATGATAGTTAAAAATCGCGGGGCCCTGGACATATATTATGTTCCATTTGCGCCGGCACTGATAACAATGATTATAAATAATTAAGATAATCCCCTTTTGGTTTTAATGAGGTGGATCATTTTTAAAACAAACCCAACCATGTGGATGTATTATTATTAGAAGTTTGAGTGTCTTGATGGTTCCGTTGAATACGAAGAGAATATCACCAAGACAACAATGTTACAATAAGATATATAGGTACCTAATATATAAATATAATTCTATAAAACTAATAACACCCCTTTTATTATAGATTCATTACATTAATTATTTTCTAAGACACTGTTGTTTAAAACTACAATATTTTCAAGATTAAAACAACATAGGTATATTTTAACCAAATTAAATAGATAGGTAAGTATAATTTTATATTTGTATGAATCATTAAAGTTAAATTATTTCTACACTAAATATATGTCTGTGGCTTTATAATATGTACCAGGTACCTATATTATATTATGTTGCTTATTTATTTTAAACTGTGTTTATTTGAATGTTTTTAAATAAAATGCACTATACATAAATATATTGTAGATACCTATATTAAATTAGAAGGCACATACCTAAATAAGAATGTTTTGGAAATATGATCAATCCACAGTTTAGTATTACGATACTTTATAAACGATATCTATTTACTATTTAGTGTAGGTAATGTCCAAAAAGTAACTTTTATTGCAATGGAACACCAAAATCCAAAGTTTCTATTGAAGACTAAAGTTAATAGGTATAAGAAACTATTTTGCGCGACTATAGGTACAAGTTGTACTTTAAAATGTTTACACTCTGACATTAATAGAATTTATAGGTACATAATTTTAGACGATTGAATTTCTAATGTTAACAAATTAATAATTTTATGATTTTGTACTTTACCGATGACCTAGTCATATTAGATTCATCATAAATGCCTGAATTTCGATGCGTATAACCAACATCAATCAAATCGTTATGATATTTTCTTGGTAAAAGCTCAGTTTCCAAGTCACCATAATCCTAAATAAAGAATTATAAGGATCAAAGGAATCCATAACAGTAGTCATTATAACATTTTTTTGTAACTTACTTGATGGCTAAATTCAAATTCTTCCACTTCCATATCTCTATGAGATTGTTCGTCAGTTTTCATCGGAGAATGTTTTCCCTCAGATTTTCTATCATTACTAAAAATGAAACAATGGTAAGGTTACAATATTTTAACAGAATAAATACTAATATTCTAATACCTATAGGTTTTTGTATTGATTACAATATAATAATTTATTGTTGACTCAAAAGCTACTAAAAGACATGAAAATGAATGAATTTATTTATTTATAAATATAATATACATAGAATGATGGGTAAAATGTATTTTGCATAACATAAGCATAAACCAAAGGTTCTACAAGTCTTTTTTAATTGTTAAATTATTAAACCTATATAGTAAGTACCTAGTTAAATAATTTTTCTAAAACTGTATTTAATAGTTATTACTTATCAGGTATTAAAATATTTATATAACAGGTAGGTACAATAAATCTAACACGAGTTCAATCTTGTAAATTAATAACTGAAACCCTTTGTTATCAAAAATATTTAAAAACAAAGTAAATGACTGTTTTAGAAAAATGAAAGTAAAAAGAATGTAAGTAATCTAAAAAATATTTTCAATTTAAAAATACTACTGTATTGTCGGATGACCATGAATGAGGTAATTATACAAATACAATAAATACAAAAGTGAAATTAGACTATGTATGATCTTTAAAAATGAACTAAATCAAAACGATATATAAATATATTTATAAGTTTTAATAAATTGTCATTGTTATTAAACAATAGTATGAGAGCTACCTATATAATTATATTATTTCCTATCAAATAACGATTGTTTTGTAACGTTTAGAATTTTTAATTTAAACATTTACAATATCGACTATCATACTTATCAATCTTAAGTTTTAGACATTTTAAATACAATCGTGTTATTTATACAGGAACTTGGAATAAGTTCATAACCATTAACAATAGAAGCCAAGGAACAATTAGGCTCGTGTTTGATTTCATAAAATACATATACATTTTTAATAATTATCTCAAAATGTGGCGCTCACGTCAACTTAATACAGAGTATAAGAATCTTTCACGTAATAACTATTAGGTAGTATACCTAGTCCTATAATTTGAATTTGAATACTCGGTAGTCCCAATATCCATCCCAGAATTTTCATTAGGAAAATCAAATCCTTTACTTTGACCTCCAGGTATATTTGAATTAAAACCATCAAGTTTCTGAAATATATAAGTTTGCAATAGAATAGGCATTTTTTTCCCTTTAAGTTAAGCTTATTATAATTTTTAATGACATTCTTACTCGGGAGTGCGTTTTTCTGGATTCCCGTCCTCTTCTATATACCAATTGATCAAAACGGTCTCGATCCGAGGGGCCTATTAGTTCGCGCAATTCCGTCAACAGCGTAAACTAAAAAACCAGACCGTTATTAATGCAATAACCGCTTTACTGTGAGACAACTCGTGTAGTAGGGACCAATTTAAACACAAATAACTGTACGAATATGGTCGAAATTCAAAATAATGAATACTTCATATTGGTATGTGTTTAAATTGTTCCATTTTCCTTTTTAATTTTAATGTATTTTCAAAGCGCCCGGTGCCAATGTCATTTGTACCCAAAAATACACATTACGGGAATAATGATCCTGTCCTGTAGAATCGACCAAAAATTTGATAATTTTTTTCAGGCCTCGTTAAACTCCGTTTTTAAATATTTTAATCTCAATAATATGTCTTTAAAAATAAAGCTAATTTATGCCTATTTTTCAAACTATCTATACCAAATTTTAACTGAAATAAAATAAAAAATCGGAGTTCAATATGGTCTGTAGGAAGTCTGAAAGTTTTCTTTATATTGTATTTTTTCAAATAGTTATCAAAATCTGACAATTCTACAAGGCCTGAGAATTATCCCTGTGGAGTCGTTTTTTTTAAAATATAGTACACCGTAATATACCCCCCCTCGAAATAAGTATCGAACAGTAGATTAGTAGAAAAGTATTATAATTAACGTGGCAACTAAAATGTAAAATATAATATTCATATGTTATATAGAATTGCGGAAAAATTTAAAAACCGGCACCGGGCCCCTTAAAGTTTTTCTATTACAGAAATGTGCTTCTTATAATATGGCAATCATTGATTTTTTTGTTCACCTTATCAGTTGTATTGAGCAATTCGAAAAGTATAGTTATAAATGCGTCAATAGACATTCGAGAACACGAATACTCGTCCAAATAATACCGTAAAGTATTAAATTCATTTTTCGTCAGCAAAATTCGAGCTTTTTCCTCTACCATTTGAGATGCAGCAGATGTCCCTAACTTCAAAGCACCGTCTGCACTAAAATTAATATTGCCAAATTAGGATTAATACGTTTGAGCTATTTTTTTTATTGTTATTAATGTAAATATGATATTTTCAGATTTTCTAGAAAGGAAATTTAAAAACCTTCCATTTTTCGAACTAATGACCGTTGATTTTTAAAATAATTGTTCTTTGTACTGTATTGAAATACATTTATGTCTAAATTATATGTCTATAAAAGTTTTGTCAATATACAATATTTAAATATGTTTTTTATAAACGTGTTTAGTGATTATTATTTAGTGTTTTTATTCGTAAATTTCCTACAGTAAAATTATAATTTTTTATAATACCTATATTGTTATCTGTTATACATTAATAGGTTGACCGCCATGAGCCCCTTTTTGGGCTCTCACTAGTTTACTGCCGTACGCCACGGGGCTTTTTCAAAGGTTTACTTGGAAACAGTTTTAAACAGATTTAAACAAAAATTGATAAAAAAAAAACTAATAATGATATCTGGAAGCTTGTTATACCATCAGAAAGTGGCAACACTTTACATTTTAAATCCGACTCGAAAATACTGATTATAATCGATTTCGTAGCAATTTCGTTAAATTATCAATCGTAGTAATATTTTTGGGAACCCAAAAAGATTCTCAAAATCGATTTTAAGTAACTTGAGAAAACCCGTGGAGGTCAACCTGTTGATAGGTACTTTATTTATTGTCAAACTAAAAAAATATTAGGATATTAGGTAGGTAGGTACTTTAATACAATAAAACACCTAATGACTAAGGTACTTATTTAGTTACTTATGAATTACAATTATATAGTTATAAAGCTATCCATTAAATTGGAACGGTATTATATATTATTATCATATTCATACCTACACTAAAATATTATATTGTTTTTCTAAAATAATAGTAGGTAAATAAATAGGTACTATTATAATAATATAATATACCACGTGTAGCGTGTCTTTATAATCCTACATATAATAAATTATAACTCCAACTCGTTCAATCTTAACATTTTTATAGACTATAGCAGGGGTGGCCAGAAACTGTGGCTCGCGTTATAAACTCATACGGCTCGCATCTCATCATAAGATACAAAACATTTTTACAAAAAAAAATGTTTTAAGAGGACGTGTTACCCGCGTGTGTTGTCTCCGTCTTACAAATGTACAACACAGCCAAAAACTGTTTTGCGGGTAACAAATTTACTCTCTCTGTATTTATAGTAGAATTACCGAAATTCCACAACGCATAGGGAAGATCTTTAACTGTGACGTAGAGTTTTAAATTTTTTTTTAACACTAAACAATTATTTTTAATAATTAAGTAAAAAAGAAACCTAATGTTCTCAAACTGATAATTTCAGTTGTATTTATGTTATCCAAAAAATAAAAAGGCTACGTCACAGACAAAGTTTTTCCTCATGTGTTGTAGAATTTCGGTAACTTTACTAAACTATAAATCCAGAGGGTAAGTTGTTAAGCACAAAACAGTTTTTGCTATGTTGTACATTTGTAAGACGGAGACAACACATGCGGGTAGCACGTCCTGTTAATATGAATTTATGAATTCATGTATTTGAAGAAGTATAATATTTTATTAAATTAAAATTTACAGAAAAAATGTACAAAAAAAATTTAGTGTTTTTGATATACCTAATATTTAAATATTTATTTATTTTATTTTTATTATTAATTAATATCTTATATGTTGCCTGGTCATTTTTTTTGTTAGTTTTTAAAGTTATTATACGTTGTTAGTGCAGTCCTTAACAATTCCGTTAAATGATTTTCCTTTAAAGTTGAGAGATTTTTAGATTTAATCATTTTCATTGTCGAGTAAGGACTTGCAAGAATACGTATGTTGTTCCCTAAAATCGATATAAATTGTTGAGCTCAAAGTGTTATTTTTGGATATTTAATAACGGGCACATATTTCCAAACTTCAAACTAAGAATGACAACTGTATTTTAACTGATTCTGCAGTCCTTCATCTTCCAATAATTATTCTAAGAGTTCGATTTCTAAAGCGGCTGTATCCATTGAAATCGGTTTTAATATTGGACATTCATTTCTAATAACATTAACTACAAAGGGATTTTCTAAAAATGCAATCGAAGTTTACCTAAGTAATTTCAAATCGACATTCAAAGTCAGTTATAAGCACTCTAATTTATGTACATTATCTTCACAATTCATTTTTGCTGCTATTCCAACCAAAAAATCCTCATTTTTTTTTAAGTACGGAAAATGGTTTAAATTATTTGTGCTTAAGTCTCTTTGAGAAAGTTTAGGCTTATTTTGGAAACTAAAAATGTATTGTACTTGGTTATTTATGAATTTATTTATTTACGATAATCATATATGTATATATATTAATATGACCTATTTTAATTTCGGCTCTTCAATATTATCAATTTTTTGGATGGCTCGCAAATCTCTTCTCGCTGACCACCCATGGACTTAAATGATATTATCGTTTGAGGTTTAGACATGAGCCTCATTTTCCTGTGCATAGGTACAATACTACAATAGGCACCTACATATTTTAAAATAACACTTAGCACTGATAACTTTTTAGTTATAACTTATTTTAATTAGTTTTCGTTGTTTTGTTTAAACTCGATTAAACTAGTATCGGTTATTTGTTTACTATTATATCACTTATTTTAATATTTTTAATTTGGTTTAATAAGATTTAAATATATATATAAATGTATTTTAAACAAATACAACCATTTAAATGGAGATATTTTTTATTTCATTATATTATTGATGCTAATTGGTTGATAGCTGAAATTGATTTCCTAACAAAAATGTATGCAATAATTGTTCGCGCATCAATACAGTTGTTACGACCTTCAACTAGTCAACTATAATAATTATATATGGACCATTATAACGTTTTTGTAAAAATATAATATATAATTATACTTTAAGTTCTGTCCTAGACCATAGATGTAGATTGTAGTTTTTAAAATTTAAAACTTAAATCTTTTATTTTTATTATTTAACATCAAGAAATGTGTTACCTACTGATACTTCAAATGACAAAAAATTATAAATTATGAATAACCTATTTATTTAAAAAGAAATAACTATTTGTGTATGTTTATATTTATCTAAATTAAGGGATATAATATTAGGTATGTCTATAGATATTTTAGTAATAATTTAGTTTTGTTAAATATCTGTGGAATAAACATTCTTGATTTATTCAACGGCAGGAATATATTTTTTCTGTAATTAAATGGTATGTTATGTTTGAATGTAATTCAAATAATATATCTGTATGAATCGTTAAAAATATAATATAATGTCAACATGAATGTTATAATTTCTATATAATATTTAAGATACTTAAGACGTACTATAAACTCATTACTAACTAATATTAAAGTTAGAAATATCTATTGTTAAAATGTGTAAGCTAACAAGTATATCAAATTGTTTTTAACTAATTCAATATGTCTAATTAAACTTTTTAATAGCAATCTATTCACTATTAATTGAAGCTTTTATATGAAGAAGTATGATAAAAGTTTTTCCTAAAATACATAAAAAAAATTTAAAACTACACAAATTACCTAAGAAATTTATAAATTATATGATTATTACATTTAAAACGTATTTAACATTACAAAAATGGTCTTACTTGTCCATAGAATGGTTCCAATTTGTATCTGGGTTGTATGTTGTGCATGAATGAGGAACTTTACCTACGTCTCTTACGGTAAGGGTCATTTGTTTTTGAAATTTTAATTGATTTACTGCTTCATCGTGTGATAAATTCAAAAAAGATTGACCATTTACTTCCAAAATTTGATCACCAATCTAAATATAAATATTTCCAACATAAATTAGAATAATATGGTTTGAATTGAAAGGAATTTATTTATTACCATAAGTCCAGATCGATCTGCAACAGACTCTTTATCGATACCAGTGATAAAAATACCTAAATTATACTCAGTTCCACCCCTAATCATCAGACCAAGACTTTGTCCCGGTTCAATCACCAATTCAACCTTAAACAATTTTTGTTGTAAAAAATATTGATAAATCAATTTTAAACTCATATAATTTGCTTACTTTTCTTATTTTATCTTTGGATGATCGAGTATAGGACCATTTTGAGTATGGAGAAATTGGTTTGGCATATTCTAAAGGAGGTGACACTGGTTGACCCTTACGATTAATCCATGAATACGTTCTGGACAATCTCCACGCATCGTCTTGATTAGTGTTCTCGTCGTCATCTTTTTTGTGCATGGTAGGCATTGATTGAGGTGGTGATGGACATTTTACTGTCATTGTAATTTGCCGATATGACTTAAAAATCTGAATAAAAAGAAACGAATTAAGGAAAACATTTGTAAGCAGTTCGGAGTTTTCGTACTTTTAATGCTTCTTCGTGTGATATAGTTGAAAATGGCCTGCCATTTACTTCTAAAATTGAATCTCCAGGCTTAAGACCAACGCTCTCGGCTATACTTCCTTCTTCTACCCGTGATATATACACCCCAACATCTATTTAAATTAAAATATTTACAATATATTAATTTATTAAGATCGTTAAAATTTAAATAAGAATATACCATATACTATTATAGAATTCGGCCAACCATCACAATATGTAACAATAATGTAATAACAGTTCTATATTTCTTAAGGGGATTCGATACCGTGATTTTCTGTTTTTGTCTAACACACGCGTGACATAGTATTTTAGACGTGTTTTTATGCCAAACATTCCAATTGATCTATTGAAGCGATAAGATTTCTGAAAACAGATTTGAATTTGTCGTCAAGTCTACTTGAAATCGACTTTCCCACATTTTTGATTTTTTGATTTTAACTTCTCCAAAAATTGAAATAACAGAATTTTTAAATACTCTTTTTGAATATGACATTTTAAAAAATTTGGGGGATAATATCAAAAATGTGGGAAAGTCGATTTCAAGTAGACTTGACGACAAATTCAAATCTGTTTTCAGAATTCTTATCGCTTCATTAGATCAATTGGTATGTTTGGCAAAAAACACATCTAAAATACTATGTCGCGCGTGTGTTAGACAAAAACAGAAAATCACGGTATCGAATCCAATTAACTATTATTAATTTTGGAGTGTTAACTTATTATATTACGATAAAATATCCAATGCAACTAAATGCTTTATTATAGAACACCTTCCGCATAAAATACGGTTTTTTGGTAAAATTAATACGGCTAAGTCGAAAAAAAAATTTAATTTCCTGGTCATAACATTTAAAAAAATGATTTGGCGGTCTAAGTTTTCCGATTAACAACTTCTGATATATTTATAACTTTATTTGTATATGATATCTCACCATATATCAATATACGATAATATTCAATATACCTACCTACTTAAATGAGGAAATAATGTACAATTAATAAAATATTAAAATTTTATTATTAGTAATTCACACAAGACTAGGTAAGTAGCTAAATTTTGATTCTAGTTTTGTCAATTGTGAAGAATGAAATGCATAGGACATTTTACTTTGATATTATTTACAAAATATTTTAATATTAAATACATACCTCGTACATAAATTAGAACAAAATAAAAATACAACATTGATATCTTATAACAATTCATAATTGATTTATCAAATAGGTAGATAACTATTGATAATTTATCTTGCGCTACACTTAAATTTACAACAAAGATAATAAATAGAAAATAAGTAAAAAGGGAATGACACAGGAAATATTTTAAAAGTTTGACTCAGCACAAAAGTTAAAATTAAAAAAAAAAGTTGTGACCCAGTAAATAGTAACCGCAGTAAATTGTTTTTATGAGTAAACATCTAAATGCTTTTCGAATGAAACGGCGCGGCGTGGGTTATAAATTGTTTAAACAAAATTTAGATGAACAATATTTCTTATAATTATAATTGTCATATAATCTGTAACCAATGCCATCCATTTATTTAAACAAAATATATTCGATTTTCTTGTGCCAAAACAAAACTCCTTTGTATGACTCATTAGTAGATACAGTAAATTACAGAAATAATAAAACTGGGGGTGTCGCTCTACTTAATTTAATAACTCAGGTAGATTAATTATCATAATATGTAATAACTTGTTTTTCAGTTAGTTGATGTGAAGTTAAAACCGTGTTTACCTATACAAAACTATAAATTATATGAATATTAAATCACAATAAAATAAATATCGATATTTTTTGTTTAAATAAATAATTTGGTAAATATTTGAATTTAAAATGCGTATTATAAAACTTGTACTTTTATGTGTTTTTGAAACTCTTATAGGTTGCTATAGGAAAATTCATAAAACCATTAAATTTATAAATTTAACACCTAAATCTTGAAAATGTAATACAAAATTAGGTACTCATTAGTTTTTATTCACTGGAATTAAAAAAAAAAAGGTTTAGCCTTAAACAATATATCTAATTAATGTTTAATTTAAAATGTGCGATTGAAGTTAAAATGTTGATAACATTGGATATTAAAAAGAAGTATAACGAGTTATCTTCAAACGATTTTTGTTATTTTGTTATAGTAGAAAAATATTAACCTTAGAAACTTGAAACATTCCACTATTGTTTAAATTATCATTTTCCATACACTCACAAATTTCAAAATATTTAGACTCATTTTAAGCTATTTATATCACAAACATAGTCACACCGTGTTCGTGTACCGTATGTAATCATTTATAAGTTAGTAATAAATAATAATAATATATGATTAATGTTATAATACGAATTTTTGAGATGTTAATGGCAAACATTATTTCAACATAGGCAACGTACTATTAAAAGAAAATATAAATACTAATAGTAATATAAATAAATTATAAAATATCCTTAGAAATAGAGGCTGCCGTCAAAATTGTTTTTCATAAATTCAAATTTAACAGTGAACAACTTGGCGATAATAGCGCAACCGAAGCAATCCATTGCAGATTGAATTCCCCGGTTTTTTTTTATGAAATTTAGACATTCTTACCAAATATTTGTATTTATATTTTCCAGAAATGATTCAAATTAAAAAAAAAATATTTTGGCTTTCCCGGTTTTTACTTATGATGGGGGCTCTTACCTAACGTACTAACTAGCCGTACTAAGTTCTGGTTTCCTACCAGAAAATATCGTCAATATTCAAGATTAAAGCATTTTAATTGAATTTAATAGTGACATTGGATACTAATATATATATATATTCATCACATCATTCAGAATCTAAAAATTCAAAAACCGTGAAAATAATATGAATTCTTTCCATTGACGCAATAGTTCAAAATAATTTTCTTAAGTATAACCATAGCATTACACTGCCATGCAGATCTTATTGTTGCCTATCGCTTTTGCTATAGTCTACGGGAAAGTAGAAAGTGAAATTTGCAGTTTGTGACAATAATATTACAATAGTCTCAGTGGTCATCTTCTTGGCTAAAATAAATAAATTAATATTTTGGGTAAGTATATAATATAATGCTTGAAATAATTTACGATTTAATTTTATTCCTACCTATCAGCTGCGATCACAGATCATACAAATTCAATTTCTGATCTACTATTTTTAAAGAGAAAAATTAATCTTACTTGATTCATCTGCTCCGCCTTTAACACAAATACCAAATCCTTGATTGGACGGGCTTCCTGAAGCTGCATTTGGCCTTGACATCGATATCGTACGTACTGTAAGATTATCATTATGTATTGTGGATGATGTGTTGTTGTGCGGTTGAGAGGTGTTTGAACCATGAGGTGGAGGTGATTGTGGTTTAGAGCTAGACACGTGATACGAGGAAGATGGGTTGTAATTGGGTGCTGCAAACATTTTAAGAACTTGTTCCGGAGAAATAGGCCTCTTTTTTCCAGAACTTCCACGTGAACCGGCATTATTAGAACGATTACTATTGCTACCAGTGCCTGTGTGAAAAACAAACGCGTGGTGTACATTTGTAGGACAGAACAACTAGGTAACAACACTTAACAATTACAATATTTATATGAAAAAAAGCATTATATATTATATATATATTGTATTATTATAAATTTAACTCCAATATAAAATATAAATAATTATACAAACCATGTAATCAATAATGTTTAAAATACCAAATTAATTTAAATCTTGTTTTTTATTTTGCAATTTTAGTGTATATTTTTAGCCTATTGGACACACGGTTAATTGAATCATTCATCTATAGGAACTTAAATAGAATAATCTTGATTTGCACGTATACTACATAACACATAGGAAAAACAATTCGTCTTTTGGTCTCACTACATTGGTATAAGGGGTCAATATATATTTTAATGGGTATATTTTCACATTCTTGGTCCATTTCCCCCGATTTTATTTCATATATTTTGACAATTAATACTAGTGAAATAAATTTTACTTTCTTCGAATCATCACATCGAAAAGTATTTACATTTTTGACAATATATTTTTTTAACATAATTTATATCTATATAGTCAATACATTTTTGAAAGTTAAAATGTATGATATATTTTTTCGTTACAAATGTTGATGTTTCTTTTTCGTTATGAATGACAACATAAATATTTTAAATACGTATATGAATAATAATAATATATATTAGAATAATAATAAATAAATAATGAATAATAAATAATGAATATTTATTAGTAATTTTTTTTATTACAATACAAATGTATATCTTTTTATTCTTGGACCTTTTGCCTTATTGACTCATTAGGTTAATGGACTCAAATAGGCTTGTTTAAAAGTGAGTTCAATAAGCAGTGGCATCTAAACTCCAAATAATATTGGTCTATATGTCAACGCAAATAAATCAATAAATAATTGTTATTAGTTCTATATAACCATTGTTTAAGTCCTAAGATGATTGATTATTTATATTATTATTAGGTACTTATTATTTTATTTAGATGACCTTTTTTTTACTATTATTAGTGCCAAACTAAACAGTCATGTTCAGTTTCGGCCGCGACCCCTCATTTTTATATTTCATTTTTTAGGGTCTCGTAAATATTTTATTTGTTTGGGTGTTTCTGGTCTATATAAGGAGTAAATACTCCGCAAAGTATTTATCGAAATATTGAACCGTATGCAATTTTTAGGCTCAATTTTCTTTACATGGCTCAAGACCGTTAATTATGGGGCCCCTTAAAAAACCGATCCATGGACCTTTGGTGTGCCAGGCCTACACTGGCCATGCTCCGTGCGACCATGCCTCTATCTAATAGCAAAGTAATGTTTCTATGGTCCATGGAGATTTCTTATATATTTTCATACATAACTCTAGATTCCAGACTAAATTATATACTAATCTAAATACAAATATATAATATTGCAGCAGATTAAAATAGTATAGTCTATTCAATATTGTGATGCGTACCTACTATTAATTTATACTTCATATACCTACCTACTATTAATACTGATATTTTAGATTCACTTCAAATTGGATAGCTGGTTTTTATTATTTCAATCGCAACATTTTAGAACTATTTAAAACTATTCAAATCAAGTTCTATCCAAGAATTATGACTTAAGTATTTCTTTGATAACATCCATAATGACTAGTGAGTATCATAAAAATGTGTAGGTACACGACGCGTATTATATAAAATAAAGCACCCAACAAAAACCTAAAGACTAGAAACTAAGACGATTGTATCAAACTAGCATACGTTGTTTGGTTCCTATTACCTATCAATGATTAGGCGAATTTCACTGATATTGCATGGTATAGTAACTAATAACACCATTATCTAATATCTTACATATTTTTAAATGTAGGAACACAATATCCTGTATCGATGAACTTTGCCCAGGTTTGGCTAGGTAATTAAAATAATGAGATCACGCTGAAAATGTGTTTGGTGGTGATAAGTATGTTTAACTATTCTTCTAATATTTTGTACTATATTGTTTACATGTCTTTTCAAAGATTATCACTATCACATAATATGATTTTTAGAGTCAAAATCAACGGACTGTTATGAAGATTTTTTTTTTATTTTTTATCAAGAACTTATACAATCTATACTAAAAAAAAGTACAATAAGCATAATGTATATTTTTTTTTTAAATTAAACTAACTATAATGGGTTGAGTGTCTTGAGGGAAGAAACCATCCAGTGAAAGTAAATATGAAGCTATGTGGGAAAAAACTAATCCAATTATGTTTTCAAATAATAAATTAAATTATTTAATTTAAAATTATATCATTTGAATATTGAACTAATTTCACATAACGTAGTTTGAAATAATAAAATTGTTGTTGCAGAATTCATTGTTTTTCTTTTCATTTTAGGACAATGATGGAACCGTCTACAATAAAAATACAAATAAATGAAATAATTCGAATCCAGATTCAAAATATAGTGAATAGCTAAAAAGCTTTTTTGGATTGTATTTTTTACTACCCTCGGAAATCAAGGATCCAATGTTAATTTCAGCGTCACTCGCGAGTCGCGGAGGACTATAATTATTCAGACTACGTACTTAATAATTATATTACTCATGAATCAAATTTCCCTCCAAACTATGACCCGAGGACCCTTCTACAACATCACGAACATAGGTGAATAAGACATAATTGACACATTAACATGTGGATATATAATATAAATACTATACAATTTATTATTATTGTCTAGGCGATACCTATCTGAATTGAAAAATATTCAGTTATACATTAGTATACTAATACTCGACTCACACTCTGTCTATGACGATAACTTTTTTCAAATAATTTTAAATTTTTAACCAAAAAGGCAACACTATTTTACACATGCGAACCTACTATGAAACAGATTAAAATTACCCAAACGGTATCTATAGTAGGAATTTATTAAGAGCATTGAAAAAATACAATTTAAATACAAGTTACAGTTGAAAGTAACTTTGAAAAAATGTATCTAAATATGTGTTTCCCTAGTAGAAGTGTAGAATAGATACGCATTTAAGTTATATGTACGAGAACTCAGGTACTTTCCAGCTTTGTTATCAATCTTGTGCAAAATAATTATTAGTTTATATTAGTTTAATTTATAGTAATTTAATACCATAACTATAACTTTGTATATATTATGTAAACTTTGTTTTGTGATAACAGCTAAGCTATTTTTACGTTACATTACTGGTATAATCTTTAATAATACGTATTAAGAATAACAAAACATTTAATACAAATAATAGTCTAACCATACCGGAAGATGTATTCATAATAATTTAAATTTACAAATGACTAAAATTCTACTGGACCCTTATATTGACTATGCAATGGCTCAAACATAATAATTTATACTTTTGTATTCCTTCTCATGCTTACTATACAGTATCCATGCTAAATCTATCAGCTAAAGATTAAATAATAAATAAAAAACTGTTGTAAGTTATGACATGCTTACAACAGATACATTATGTATCATACATATAACAGATATATATAACTAAAAATAAAGAAATAATTTCAAAAATGTTTGCCATGCAATTCAAAACAAATGTCTAATCTATTGTAATCAAACATGTACAAGTTGTATTTCTAAGCATGCAAAGTTCGCGTACTATATATATCTAAAATGTAGATGTGTTTTGTTACATAATTCTCGAAAACAATCAAGACATTTTTAAATTTTAATCCAAAGTATTTTTCGTATTAAATTCAAATTCAATAAATATAAAACAATTTTAACTACAGCAAAGTGTGTTTCACGAACGAAAATACATAGTTTAAAATTCAATATAGTTTTCTTGATCAAATTATTGAATCCAAAACCTATACACGAACTATAACAATAATAATTACCTGGGTGATTTGGTCCAGATACGCCAGCTGACGACTCCCTTAGATATGTTGCTCTAGGTGGTGGAGGTGGTGGTGAGGCGGCTGGAGGCTTTTCAAGTATGGTATAAGATGTACCTGGTGGAGAATAATATAAGCCAGTTCTTATTTTGTTTACACCGCCTTTGGTTCGTCCATAATGTCCCATGACATCTTCAGCTTCGGCTGCTCTGCCACCGCTTCCGCCGCTTCCACTGCCGCCTCCAGTTCTGTTGAACGGCAATGGCAATAGTCGGTGACCGGTACGTTGTCCTGACGGCGGGACGGATCCACTGCTCCCAGGACTTCGACCCCATCCTCCAAGCATCATTTTCCCATTACACAAAACACTTGTAGATTTTAATTGGTTCGCCAAAATACCTGAAAAAAAAATGTAATGTTTGAAAAATACAAGATAATATTATACACCCATCATAACTCAACAACAACCCTCATTAACTCTTGTTGTAAACAATACCACACTTAACCACTGGGTGCTATATAATTTATAATATAATATCATAGTTAAATTTTTCCTGTAATTTTATTATACTCATATAGCCAACGTGTTATGATGAGTAAAAACCCTTAACAGTCTTATAAATCATAGTACAAATTTAACAAGATATCCACAATCAATTTAGTGTTGTTTGACAATTTATACTTAAACAGTATTAGCACTCGGGACGCTGCTAAGAATTCGATTAATAATGAAAAGGTGATGTATGAACAAGCGGTCATCAATTAACGTCTTCACACTTGTAATATTACAACCCCGTAATGATCAGTATAAAAAAATAAATTTAAATAAACTAAAATAACCAAAATTTCATAGCAGTAAAACCATAACACCATACGCTAAACACACATGTATATGTATTATGTAATATATTCATCCTTTTGTATCACTAATACATGCCATGTATCATAATAAAGATAATTTTAGGTAAGATCCGTTATAAATTAATTTGCATGAATATAATATATCAGATTCTGCTAGTTAACCACCACTATATTAAAGTAATTAATAGTATTCTAAATTTTAAAACATCATTCTACAACATTTTACTAACAAGTGACAACTAGATTACTAGAACAATCATTATTTATTTGAAAAAAATTATTATTATTTAAATATAATTAGGTATAGGTAAAAATATTTAAGTTTAGATAAAATAATTAATACTAATAAGTCATAACTAATATTGTCCAAGCAAACAATTACCTACATTACAAATACAGTTGAATACAGTTAATTCGAACTTTTTTTAATTCTAAATCGTCAATATCTCGAACATCGAATATCTCTAGAATTTCTATTATTGTATTATCCTTGGATAATACGAACTTTTTAGCCAGTCCCTTCAACTTGAGGTCAACCAAGTCTGATTATAATACTAACTTAATTTTAAATTGTTTAAAATGTATATTAGGTAATGTAAATTCATTTATAAATCCCTTTTTTTTAGAACTAAATGGTTCTACCGGTAGTTATTATATTTAAAAAAAACATATTAGTAATAAGCTATGTTAAATTTAAATGTAAAATACAATAAATTATTGAAATATTTAGATAAATGCGGAAATATATTATATACGATATTATATTCAAAACCCCTACACAAAAATGTATTTTGCTTAAAAATTCCATAAATACATTTTCCTTTAAGATGTTTGGTAAAAATATTTTGGATGATATGCGTCTTTATAAACCGATAATTTATAAATTAAATTAAAATAAACCCTCATGAAATATTTTAAAGTAACGCTATGAAAATATAAATTACTGTAATTTTATAATTTATGAAAATCCTTACCTATAATATTAGAGATTTTGTTTCTTATTTCTTCAGCTTAAATTCCATAGTTCCTTCCGAATAATATTCAGTTTAATAATTAATTGAAATAGCATAAAATCTTGGGTTTTAATTAATAATTTCCACTTGATTCCATAAAAGGTAACCTTGGGAGACTAACCTGACCTTGAAATATCATATTCAAGCACTTTATGTTTTAAAAGTTGAAATATATTATGTTTGTTCTTCAATTTTAATTGGTTTTATCATATAATCAAACTGCAAGATTGCTTATATTAAACCCATTAAAAGTTATTAAGTACCCTGTGGTATTCCTCACTCATAATTATATATAGAAATTGTATATGTAAATGAAATATTGAAGTATTCTACAAATATAAGTAAAAACAATAAATAAATTGTAGGACATATGAATCTATAATGGGAGTAGGTAGTTGATTAAATTAAAAAATATATTATTTTTTTTTTAATACGAACTACCTACCTACCTACCTACCTACCTACCTATTTTTTAGTTTACCTTACTAAAATCATAGACTGTTATACAACAGGCACAATGTTTCATGTCTAAATACATGTTTATAATAAATGATCAGGAAGTAATCACTTATTTTAGTAATATACCTCATGTTATATAATATACGGGATCTATGTAGTATATATTTAATCTACATAACTCTAAATATTTCGATAACCTATATTTGTTCATAAAATGTTTAAACAGTATAGTAACTTAGTAATGTATAGATAATATTTAATATCATAAAACAAATGAGCTCTAAGTTTATATTTTTCCCTTTATTTATAGGTATTTATGTTAGAAGTTCTAATCGTACTATTTGTACTATATTGATTTCTGGCATATTAGATATTTCATATATTATGTGATATGTGTAAAAGCCAATTATAAAGGAACTTATCATGGTGTCCTTAGATAAATTAAAGTATAATATTATAAAAATTTCTAAAACTATTATAAAGTTGAATTGGAATTTACAATTTTGGATTTATGTTATTAGTGGTTATTAGTGATTGTGTTGTTTATCAAGATATTATGTAATATATACCTAGTAGTAAATAATTTAAACTGTATTGTATGATTATAATTTATTTTATAGTATATAATACCATAAATAGTTATTAAAAAAAATAAATAAATCCATATAATGACTACTAAAGAAATTAGTTTAAAAGTAAAAAAGGTGCTCTGCTGTACAGTAGGTTACAAGTGGGTCGCTGTATAATGAATGGTATTAAATTTGAATTCAATGATATAATATCATTGTATAAGAAAAACGATTCTGAGGGGAGACGGTATCTCAGTAAAGGTATACGACGTATTATATACTTATCTAAGGTATTAAAAAAAAACTCACCTATAATGGATACCTATAATAAATTCAAAATTAATCATATCACAATATCCACTAGGTACTTATAACACGTTTTACATCAATAACAAACCGTGATACTATCATAGATATATAATAGTTTATTTTAGAAGTTTCAAGTACCCAAGAATAATATTATACAATCAGAACAAAATAACTAAAATAGTAATTCTAGGTTTTTATTATGTAATTTCATCCAAATTTGAACTTAAAATGACTATAAAAATAAACTGTGCTTGTGTATTTTTTAGATTTTTTGGTACCAGAATTAACTACTTAAATGGAATCGTGTTTTAAATTTTCAATCCTTAGTTATAAAATTTGAACATTTTATAAATTTTTAACTATAAAATTTTATAAATGTTGTCAAAAAATTCGATCTTTAAATACTTATAAAAAAAAATTGTGCCTATGTATTTTTAATATTTTTCACCTACCTTTGAAACAATATACTAGGAGCCTTCTATTAAATTGTCAAGCTTTTTTAACCAACAAATAAAATTTTATTGATATTTCTAGAAAAAAAAACTAAAAAAAAATGGAAAATTAAAATGTTCCTAAATAGTTCAAAACAAATCATAATATTTTTAAAATTTGATCGTGTATATAAAATGCAAATATAAACAACCAGTGTAAATGTCATGTATATACGTTCATTTGTTTTATAGCTACACCAAAAACCAAAAACTTTTTTTTGGAAAACCGATTTTGCGTAAAAATTCCCGTTATTCCTTAATTTGTATGTGTTTAATCCCGGCGCCTGTGAAAACTATTGGGAATTTTATTAATTAACCTCCCGAATGCACCAACTAGATTCACTTTCCCAACGAACAAGATACTGTTGAAGAAAATCGAAGCAGTTTTACTGCCCCAAACCGTGATGACAGACACGAGAACAAAAAAATTAAAAAAAAACACACATCATTGTAAAATCAATACATTCATCGTTTCACCCAGAATCTAAAATGTCTTATCTAAAACTATGCTATATTATAATGGGAATTCATACATAATTTGTTATAAAAAATAATGAATGAAAATTATAAGAGAACAAATACCAAAAGTCAGTACCGTCGCAACTTGGTTCAGTTGTACAACTGGTGGATCAATTTGGCTTAGTTGGTTATACGGGTGTTTAGTTGGGTCACTACTTGTATTCAATGGTAAATATGTGGTCAAAAAACCGTATTCATTTTTATTCTGTACATAATGTCTGGTGTTTTTTGTATGTAAAATAATATAATATACTTCTTATAATTAAATACTGAGAAAAATGAACCCGCTACAGTGGTGTAGCTAAATAGCCTACCTAAGACGCCGTACGATTATAATTGTATCAACAGTTTACTCATCGAAATTATTAATTAACAAAAAAGAAAACAGACTAGGCGCTGGAACATAGACCCAATGGTAATAAATAATAATAAACCATTATTAAAAGAAACAATTTGAATAGAGAGCATACACTGAATATGTACCTCCACTTCACTTCAGAGTTACTAAAATGTATTGTGCATTTGTATACACATTAAACATATATAAATATTATAAAAAAACAAACGAATAAATACGAATAGTGAGTAAACCTTGTTCGTAAATATTAAAAAACGATGAATTAAGGAAATCAAAATATATAAATATTGTACAACAATCTTCATTACAAAAAATTAATTCAAATTTCAAAAGTATACAATCACAGGGATTGTGGAATCAAAAATATAATAAATACATTTCAATTGATTAGGTAGGTTTTATGCATAATTAATCCATAATAATTATTGTATTAAAATTTTATGATAGATATAAATGCAATGAGAGTTAGAGAGTTAATTTATAATTATTAAGAATTTTTTTAAATAAAATAATGATTTCTTTCATGAATTTCAAATTTAATTCAAAAATAAATATGTTCAAGTATCGTCTGACAAACAATTAAATTAATATATAAATAGACTATTTAGTAGGGTGGCTCATAATGAGTATGCACTTTTTAAATAATAAATAAATGAGCAAAATTTTTAATGAAATTCATCAATTAATTATTTCTATATTACATTTAGTAACATCTCCGATTTAACAATGAAAATCAATATTCGGCATATGGTGCCTTCTAAAATTAAAAA